TTGAGATGAAAGGGCCAGATTCTCTCACTAAAACCAGACTCAGGAAAGAAACATCAGTCCTGAGAAAGCAACCCCTCACCTCCAGCAGACAGCTCCCCTGCTCATTGATGCCACAGATGATTATTGAGCACCTATTATGCGCCAGGCACTCTGATCGCAATTGACCAAATGACCCAAACCTGGAAAAAGGAAGGGGGGACTTGGAAGGAGTGTGCTCCTTCCTAAATCCACCTACACTGTTATGGCTCAGAGGCTGTTCTGGCTACTGCGGGTGGTGACCAGCTTATTCATCGGAGCTGCGATCCTGGGTGAGTGTGAAGCTCAGCTGTCTTGGGCAGCACCTCCACCCCATCTGGTTCCCTCAGCAGCCCATCTGGCCCTTCCTTGTTTCCCCACAGCAGCCTCTGCTTCAGGGTGGGCTTCTAGACCCTGCCCACATGCCTCCCTCATTGTAGCCTTATCCCTTCACTTTCACCCTTGCCAAGAGGGGTGTGGGCCCTAGGAAACTATCCTGGGTGCATCTCTCCAACTTTCCTAACATTTTTATTTAGAGGAAAGCAGGTTAAAATGAATGGGGAGATGACCTTTGGAGACTGGAGGGAGGAAATGGGGGAGGACTGCTTGCTTTGCTTTCAGAATTAGGCAAATAGGAAAGATGGAAAGTCTTTAAGTTGAAGCTGTGTTTGCCTAGCATGTTATTACTTTAATGTTTTCCTCCCCAGGCTGCTTGAGTGGCTCTCCCTAAATGGGAAGAGGAAGGAAGGGAAAGGGTAAGAGGAGTATGACCAAGGGAAATCATTTATTCTTCCCATTTTTGGCAAACCAACCATATGCCAGACCCTAGGCTAACTAATGCATATACAATTATGAGCAAAACAGATGTGGCCTTTTAGCTTTCCCTCTAACTCTAACCCAGCAATGCCCAGCACTCCCTAAGTACCCATATGTCCAACTCCCCAACCAGCTGTGAATTTCAGTACTGAGTGGTCTGTGGGCCAGGCCAGCACCAACACATCATACAAGGCCTTCAGTTCCCAGTGGATCAGCGCTGATGTTGGGCTCCAGGTTGGGCTGAGAGGAGTCAATGTCATGCTCACAGGTGAGGAAGAGCTCTTACCGGTGACAGAGAGGAAAGCTCTGCTCTGTGTCTTTGGGATCTAATTTGTTGTGGTCTAAAGAGTGACCGCATGGGTTAGAGGGATGGGAGGAAGGGGAATTCCCAGGCCTTGGAAGCTGCTTTTTCTCCATTGAGACCAGCTCCTCTCCCTCTACCCTGCGTGGTGAGCCCCTTACCCAAGCAAATGCCCTGGGTCCCTGCTGAGCACAGCTGCCCCATTTCTCAGGGACCCCAGTGCAGCAGCTGAATGAAACCATCAGTTACAACGAGGAGTTTACCTGGCATCTAGGCAAGAACTATGCTGAGGAGTATGCAAGAGCGCTGGAGAAGGGGCTGCCAGACCCTGTGCTCTACTTGGCTGAGAAGTTCACCCCAACAAGCCCATGTGGCCTGCATGGCCAGTACCGCCTGGCAGGACACTACACCTCGGCCATTCTGTGGTGAGGGCGGGATGGAATCTCTGTTAACCCAGACCCCAGAACAGGGTTTTTGTCATCTCTCCTCCACTCATGTGGAGATCCCGGTGGGACAGGCTGGCACCAGTCACAACAGTACTTTTTTGGGAAGCCCAAGGCAAAAATCCCTACTTCATGTCTTTGGGGTGTCCTTGGGTCCCTGAGCCTCCACCTGGGACCCCCCAGGTAGAAGTGCCTGGGCCAGCCTTCAATGGGTCCTGGCTCTCCAGGGTGGCATTCCTCTGCTGGCTGCTGGCCAACGTGATGCTCTCCATGCCTGTGCTGGTCTACGGGGGCCACATGCTGCTGGCGACAGGCACCTTCCAGCTGTTGGGGCTACTCTTCTTCTCCATGGCCACATCACTCGCCCCACCCTGTCCTCTGCACCTGGGCACTGCTATACTGCACATTCACCATGGGCCTGCCTTCTGGATTACACTGACCACAGGTGAGGCCCATCCCTAAAGACAGCACTGGAGAGTTCAGGGCCAGGGAGAGAGGGTCAGGGACCATCATGTTGGTGGGGCTAAGGGCCTGGGTGCCAGGAAGCCTTTCTCTTGTTTATAGCTTCTCTCTCGTACCCCTAATCTCTCGGATTTCTCTCTCCAGTTCCACTTCCCCTGTCTCCTTGTGTATGCCTATTTCCCTGAGTCTTCTCTCTTTCTCGGTCATGTCCGTCATCTGCTAACTCTCTCTTTACTCACCTGTTTCCCAAATCTTCCAATCTCATGTTGTTACAGAGCAACAAGGGGAGGACAAGGGCAATATACTATTACCTGAAAGGAACCCCCCAGGTTCGTTATGTCCACCGCCTATAGGAAAGACATCTCTCAATGCCAGAGATTGGTGACAAGGAAAGGAAATGTTTATTTAATGCTGTACAGACTTAAAGTAGTGAACTAATGTCTTCATCAAAATCCCAAAGTCTCTTAAAACACCCACAAACATACACAGTCCTTCCTTCCCCCTTTGCCCAGTCTGGGGTACCATATCTCAGGAAAGGAAATAGAAGTCCGTGGCTCAGGCAGCCCCCGGTTCTTCCCAGTAATCCATCTCGCCTGGTAGGCCTCCCTGGGTTCCCAGCACCATCAGCTGTGTCTCCGGGATCTCTGCTAAAGCCGGGTGGTAGTTCCCCCTTCTAATGCTGCGGGGGTCCCCACTCTGGCAAAGCCACGAGGTTCTCTCTCCACTGCCCCAGCTGCATGGTTCTCTCTGCACACTGGCTGCGGGAGTCCCCACTCAGCCAAAACCATGTGGCTCTCTCTAGCAATGGCTGCCGTGTCTGGGTTTTAAATTCCCACGCCAACCTTCCTCTGCAGCCCCATTTCCAACTCCTCCCACACTCAGCTACACTTGCCATCAATCTCACATCCTTCCAGCTTTACTGGGCTGCCATCGTGAGTCTGGGCAGGTGTGGCCCCATGTCATGGAGCCAATCTTCTCCAAGCTCCCACACAGGTGCTGTAACTCTGGGGACCTGCCTCCCAGTTACATCTTGGTAGGGAAGTTACTTCTACTCCCCTGGCTCAGAGCATGGCCACAGCTATTTAACATATCTATGTAACCAGTTAAAGGTTATAGATGTGTAAAATGACCACACCAGAGGTTAGCTGCAAAGCTGTTGCTATGCAAAACAGCTCTCAAAGGCCCTACTCCATGTGTCCCTTCCCCCAACCCACACCTGTGGGGGTGGAGTGGTGAGGACATCCAATATTTCCTGAACACCTTGAGTTCTGGACCCCATTCCAAATCCCTATTTGGGGTCCCCCCTCCTGGCTGCACCTTGTTACAATGTTCCCCTCCCACTTCTCCTAAACACTTTTCTCTGTGTCCTCCATTGCTAGAACCCTTCCCTGTCCCTGCTTCTCATAGTATTAAAGTGTCCTGCAGTTTTAATGTCCTCTCCTGTCCCATTGGCCTGTCCCTCATGCCCTTTCCCATGCCTACTCCTTTGTGCTCTGCCCTTCCCTAAGGGTTTTTCTGTTTACAGATTTGTTTGTTCCCTCTCTCTCTCTCTCCCCCCTCCCCTCTCCCCTGGGATATAATTGAAAGAGCATTGGGTTTAGAGTTCAAAACTCACAACCACCTTTCTGAGTCCATTGCCTTGAAGCAGGGATGCTAGGACTCCCTTAGAGTTGTTATGATGCTCTTAGGAGAAATACTCCTTAAGAGGGTGTCACCATCACTAAGCATGATACCTACCGCCTCATTTCCAGGACTGCTTTGTGTGCTGCTGGGCCTGGTCATGGCGGTGGCCTACAGGATGCAGCCCCATAGACTGAAGGCTTTCTTCAATCAGAGCGTGGGGGAGAACCCTGGGCTGGAGTGGAATCCTGAGGAAGGGGGACTCCTGAGCCCTCACTATAGGACCACAGCTGAGAGTCCTGTGCCCCAGGACATTCCTCTGTCAGAGGCTTCCTCCAAGGCATGCATCAAGGAGGAGCACCTCAGAGTACCTGACTGTGCCCTATAAGGTTCCTCTACCAGGTGACCACCATGATTTCCAGTCTGACTCCAGACCTCCTTTGAGTTCCATAAAACCATCAGAACTGCCCACAGGACCTAATATCTTACCCCTCCAGCCCTGGTCTGGAGGTGGAGTAGAAAATGGAGACTCTACCTATCAGTGTTACACGAATAAAACAAAACAAAATAAATACCTATGGTGCTGAACAGATGTTGGGGCTGCCCGTAAACCTCGTCACATGGTATAACCAAATGTTTCCACAAGCAACTCTGCCTTTCTTTGATGCTTTGCCTCTTTGCCACTTATTAAAATCCAGCTTATCCACATAATGATGCGTGTGCATGCATGTGTGTGTGTGTGTGTGTGTGTGAGTGTGTGGAGCAGGTCACAGCATGATTCTGTGTTCCCTCTGATCCCATACATTTCCTGTTTTCCTTTTTCCTGGGCCCCCTTTGTTCTTCCTTTACTTCCTCAGCTTGTATGACCTCTTGGTACAATGCAAGACAGCACTCTGAGGAAAAAGAAACCAAACTTCTTACCCGGGCCTAATATTAATGAGCTGTGCCACGTTCTCTTTGAGCTTCAGTTCTCAAATTTGCCAAATAAAATTGTAGAAGTTGCCAAAGGACCTTAAAGAAAAATCCCAGGATTCACATTTTTATGGCTTGCTGACATCTACCTTGGGCCTCAGACACCATTTCGTAGTGAATAAACTCCAAAATGCCATTCCCTCCTAGCTCACTTAGCCGGGCTGGCAGAGAGGGATCCCCATGGGTGGGTCCCAGGTGAGTGGGTCAGTGGGACGGTGAGCTGGAGGGTGAGCTGCCTGGTCGCTGTGCCCTGCCATTCAATCCACCTGGGGCGGCTCGGGAAGCAGCGGGCTCCGGTTGGTTCCCCTCTGGGCTCACTAGAGGGCGCCTCTCCCAGAGCTTTTCCCGGGTTACTCCGGATTCTCCAGACAGAATCCCAGTTCGGGACAAGGCAGGGAAAGAGAACGTTGTATGGCTGCCACCAGCCCAGAGAAGTCTCCCGAGGACGCATGTCCCCCAAGAGCCTTGAGAAGCCACGGAAATTAACGGAGAAAAAAATCTAAAAAACAAAAGGAAAAAAATTTATTTACAGCTCACCGTGGGAGGCTCCAGGGTGCTCGGCGCACGTCTGAGGCAGCCCACCTTTCCCTGGGCTCCTGCTGCGCACAGCCTCTCCCTGAGCTCTCCCGGCCCAGGTCTGGCGGGCACTGCTCCAGACTGCCGGGGACCGAGGAGGAGGAGGAGTCCAAGATTGAGATCCCTTCATAGGTTAGTACTGATGATTAAGTCCGAGGCCCCGGGCTGCTTGTGTACTGGGTTGCTGAAGTTGAGAGGCGAGCCCTCTCTCGCTTGGTTACCGCAGTTCTGGACGCTTTGGTCCAAGAAGGTTCGAAGAGCGCTGGGACGAGCGTAGTGGAGACTCACCACGGCCGCTCCAAGGAAGAGGCACAGAACACCTGTGGTGGCGCGGAAGCGGAAAAAAAAAAAAGGGGCAGTCAGGACTCCGGAACAGAAGTCGGACTGCCCCCTGCAGACATTGGAGGTTACCCCTCATGATCACCCCTCCCCCCCGCATCCGCACACTCACAGACAGAATAGACCTTTAATATGGATTACAAGATACAAGGCTTCGTGTGCTAACTGTTCAAGATAAACTCTTCTGTAAGAAGGGCATAACCATGTCTGCCTCTACAAACTATCTGAGAGGGGTGAATTGGTAAAAAATAGGTGAACTCACTTTGTAAACTGGAAAGCGCGCACCGGTATAGGTGCTGTCCCTATATCCCCAGCCTCCCCGGGCCCATCGCTCGGTCCTCCCCGGGCCCATCGCTCGGTCCTCACCGGTAGCCAGCGTGACCCAAAAGGCTGCACCGTAGTGACTGCTGAGCGCGGAGGAGCCGAAGCGAAGCGGGCAGAGCGGCACACTGGAGATGGAGGCGAAGGCCAAGACGGAGAAGAGCGAGAAGGCGCCGGTGGCCAGGAGCGCCAGGCCTCCGTAGAGAGGGACCGGCATGGAGAGCAGCGCGTTGGAGAGGAGCCAGAGGCAGAACGCCACCCTGCGGAGAGACCAGCTGCGCTGTGAGCCGCTTCACCCCGCCCACCCAGGTCTTCACAGCCTCGCCTCCTCGAAGTCCCTACCCCAGAATGAGTGCCGCGCTGGGGTGGCGGAAGTGCAGGTGCAACTGCCTAAGGGCGTAGCCGGTTCCCGGCGTGGTCCAGTCTCTCGGGATTCCGAGGGTTTGTGCGGATCTCATGACCTTCTGACCCGAAGGGATGTCATACTCTCCCGAGTATATTGGGCTGTAACCGCAGCTCACATCCTCCAGCGCGCGTGTGCGTGTACACACACACACACACACACACACACACACACACACACACACACACGGTGCCTTCCCTGCAGTGCTCACCACAGTGTGGCTGAAGCGTAGTGTCCGGCCAGGCGGTACTGGCGGTAGAGCCCGCAAGGGCTGCTCGGAGTGAACTTCTCCGCCAGGTAGAGAACTGGGTCAGGCAGCCCTTTCTCCAGAGCCTCCGTGTACTCCTCCGCATAGTTCTCACCCAGACGCCAGCTGAACTGCTCGTTGTAGTCGATGGTCTCATTCAGCTGCTGCACTGGGATCCCTGCGGAGGGCGGCAGGGTCATCTGGCTGCGCGCAGCCTGGGACCAGGCAATTAAGCCGATTCTGATAGTAAAGTGGAGGCTCAAGAAAAACGGGTTTGGCAGCGGTTGGGGAAAACACAAGTTCATGAGGACGGAAAGCTGTTTGAACCTGTGGGATCTGAGAGTTCCTGCAGCTGCCCCTGCCATGTTCCCCCACCCGTGCCACCCTGGGGTCTGCCCATCCCAGAAGTTCACTTCGCCCCAGTCTCCTCACCTGTGAGTGTAATATTAATTCCCTCTAGGCCCACGTGCAGACCGACGTGGGCTCGGACGCGGGCTGCACTGAAAGCTTTGTAGGATGTGTTGGTATTCACTCTACCCACTGACCATTCTGCACTGAAGTGCACGGCTGTGGGGAAGAGGCACAGGGTGGAGGGTGGTTAGGGAAACGTTTGGAGAGATAGAATTGGGAGGGTGGTGATGGAAGGTGGGGCGCTGTGAAGAGAAATGGAGGCAGGGGTCTAGGAGTCCAATGTGGTATATATACATGGTAGGGAAAGACGAGGGGGCACTAGAAAGAGCTGGAGAATGGAGAGGGAGATGGAAACCAATCCCAGGTGCCCTGTGACAGCCTCCTTCCTCACCCCAGGTCTTCCCTCCACCTGATGCACCACACACTTACCCACGATTTCTGCACCTATGAACAGACTGAGGAGAACTCTCACCAACCAGAACCAGCGCTGCAGGAACAGACACCAGGTCAGGCCTGGGTATTGCTCAACCAGAGTCCCCAAGACCTCCCCTGACCCCATGCCACCTGGATATTTAGTGCTCCTGCAACTGCCAGCTCTTGACCCATGCCCTCTTCCCAGTTACATTCCTGGCATTTTGAGGCTGAAGTCAGGCTTGCCTTTCATGCAAGTCTCTCTGAGCCACTCACATTTCTGATGTTTTCTGGCCATGAGCTTGTGCCTCCCCAACCCCATTTTCCAACCCACCCTGCAATTGGACTACCTTGCTCTGCCTGGTACTCTCCCACAACCTTCATTCCCCCCAGTTACGTTCCACCTCCTGCTCAGGTCACTGCTATGGTATGGCTCAGTGATCCCAGAAGTGCTAAGTAGGCAGGGTCACCTCCCCCAAGAGACGGAGGCCCTGGTTTGGTGGCCAAGTACAGGAGGTGGAAAGACAGGCTTTCACATATTCTTAGGTGCATCAGTTTCTAAGGAAACCAAGGTTCTGGGAGGCGAGGTCCTTCTAGACTTGAAAACAGGCGACTTAGGTTCTGGGAGAGGGGGGAATCCAAGGGAAAGTACTCAGTCTGCTACAGCTCTGAATCCTGTGTCAAAGCATCTGAGTCTTTAGGATGGGGACACCCATATACATGCCTCTTAGCCCAGCACACAGTTGAAACACAGCAGTCTGAGCTGCTAGTTTCTGTCCTTTTGGCCCAAAGATAACGATCTTTGGGGGACTGGGTGGGAGTGGCACTGCAGTCTGGGGAGAGGTGGGGGTCCCAGCAGGACATGAAAACTGGAATCATCCCCAGGATTACTGGACCAGGCACCTACTCTCTGCAGCAGCCTCCCGAATGATTCCAGCTGGGTCAGTCTCTACGATGTCTTGGACCCGACTCCTCCCTGTCCTTGGGAAGGTGTGCTTCCTACACTACACTTCTGGGTCTGCTCCACCTATGCTCATCTGACTATTCCCTATCCTTCAGCGACAAGCCGTCCATCCGTGGCACTCTTCATCCCCAGACCTGAGCTGCTAACCCCGCTTACCGAGTGGCCACGAATCCCCGGCAAGATGAGCAAGAAGCTGACCGCCAAGGCCAAGAACACCACAATGACAATGAGCAGCGGGACGCTGATGCCGGCGGCATGCCGGGGCTGGGGATAGAAAGGCAGCTCGCCATCCCAGAGAGTCATGCTGTAACACTGCGGAGCGCTGCGCTTTGCCCGGCGGGTGGGCAAGCCGGGAGCCGACCCTGCTTGAGAGGGGATAGCGCATCTGTGGCATCTGTGGCATCGGAGCCCAGGACCCACTTCTCTTCACCCCCCAACCCCTGCGTGCTAGGGCGCGATCCAATGGGCTGGCCAAGTCTGAGCCCGGCGGCTCACCTCTGAAGAAGCGCAGCAGCTGGCTGCCCTCAAGCTCTCTGGGTTGGTCCAGGAGGAGTCAGAGACGCGGGAGAGAGGAATTATTTCTCTCTGTGTGTGAGCAATTACCTTCGCGGGTCTGCGGGTTGCTCAGCTTTTGGAAGCCGTGTGGGACCCGGACCCTTTTTATAGCAGCGTGAGCAGCGTGCCCAGCAAGGATGTCGGGACCTGGCAGGCCAGTCATTGTGGGAAGAGATCATGCAAATTAGAGGCGGCGGTCGCTATGCAAATGAGAAGAGCACTGCCTTCTCAGCTGGAGGGCGAGCCCGGAGGCCAGAGGTTCACACCTAGTGCTGGCCTGGCCGGAGTGGACACCCTCGCAGCTGGCCTCACAGGATCCAGAGAGTAGGGTGAGAGTGCAGCGGGGAAGGTGCTCTCCTCTCAGGAGCTGGTGGGTAGGGGTGGCAGCCGGGTGGTGGAGGCAGAAAGCAGAGCAAAAAAGAAGAGTCCAAAAGGAAAGACTTCTGATCCAGATTGGGGCCCTACCCCAGAGTCTGGACTGGGGGGTGGGGCCTGGTCTTCCCACTCCTCATGTCCATGCACAGATATTCATTGCGAAGTATGAGGGGCTGCATGTCTCAGGCCCCCAGCTTACTAGTTGCTTTTCCATTTCTGCTTTTTCTAGAAGCAGTTCCTGGAGGGCTGGGAGCAAGGGTTCCAGGCTTTGGGCAGGCTCCAGGAAGCTGGAGGTAAAGTCCTGCCCACGACTGACATGCCCCAGGAGGCTTGTGCCCCATGGGTTTCTGTGTTTGGGTTAGTTCTTCAACAGAATGGAGAGCAGGGATGGTTGTCATGTGCCCGGAAAACAGTGGCCTGTGGGCTCTTGGTAATGCTTCTAAAATCTTCACTCCAGAAGTGAAAACAGCTGGCGCCTCCTCCCTCTGTGCCAGCCGTAGGCATTGGGGACACCAGCTTTTTGTCTCTCACATACCACCTCCTATCCCCCAGGCTGCAGGCTCAGCATGTTCTGTACAAGACCAGAGGCGCTGGTGCTCCTGGGAGTTCTCCTGACTGGTTCCCTGAATCCAGCAGGTAAGTATCTCGCATCCCCAGCTTCCGGAAGTCACTTAGTACCCCATGGGAATGAAGGAAGGGAGAACTGCCGTAAAGCGGCTCCCTAAGGCTGGAAGATCAGGTCAGACTGCTGCTTGGCTCAGCAGGATGGGAAACTCCCAGCGCAGCCTCCACGCCGCACAGGTACAGCAGCCACTTGGATGGTTTGGGGACTCTCGAGGAGCGGGAGAAGCACAGACTGAGGCCGTGGGGCACCCTGGGCGTGGCAGGGAGGCTAGCACTGAGGGGACCACTCTCCGACTCACAGGCGGCCGGGAGGCACTCACTCTGCCCTGGGAAGTGCAGCGCTATGACGGCTGGTTCAACAACCTGAGGCACCACGATCGCGGCGCGGCAGGTGCGTCCAGGGACGGAGAAAAGGAGAGGGCGCACGGCCAGCCTCTTGGCTGCCTACTCCTCGAACTCCTGTGCATTCCTGGGACCAGGAGACTGGGGAAAGGGGGTCTCGTCACTGGGAGTGGAGAAGTGAAGGAGTAGAGCGAGGTTTGTGGCTCTTTGGGGACCGAGTGCTCTAACACTGCCCATCTCCCACCTGCTTCCTGCAGGCTGTCGACTGCAACGCGTCGTACCAGCCAACTACGCAGACGGAGTGTATCAAGCTCTGAAAGAGCCTCTGCTACCCAACCCGCGCCAACTCAGCGACGCCGCCACGCGGGGCAGAGCCGGGCTGGCATCCCGCCACAACCGCACCGTGCTGGGGGTCTTCTTTGGTGAGAGAAAGTGGGGAGTCGCTGGTGTTGACCCCTGAAGCCCCTCTGCAAGTGCACAGGAGACCCATCTGAGGCGCCGAAGGACCTCTTCCACCAACCAAGCAGCAGGCCGAGCACTGTTCCATCTCGGAGCGATCTGGCCTGTCGATTCGGGGACATTTCGCCCGTTAATTTTTTTTACCCCCTTACTCGAACGAAACCCAGGAGTGCCACCGGACCCCTTTGTTGCTCTTAGGATCTGAGTCCCCTGCCACCACTCTCCTCCCGATATGACTTACTCTCTTTCCCCCGAACAGGGAGGGTAGGTGCAAGGATCTGCTAGGAGATGGGGACGGATGTGGAGTCGCCCCAACATTAATTATGCTGATTCTCGTAACAACTTTGCAGATTAGAGAAAAAAAAAAATGCCGCAAAGCTGGCTTCGGAGCCTGCAATCGAATCTCTGTCTTTTTGCTCTTAAGAAACCTAGCCATGGGAAGCGGTGATTCTCACCAGTTTGCACCCCTCGCCTCAGGCTACCACGTGCTCTCGGACCTGGTGAGCATAGACAGACCCGGCTGCCCCGCGGAATTCCTCAACATCCGCATCCCGCCCGGAGACCCCGTGTTCGACCCCGACCGGCGCGGGGACGTGGTGCTGCCCTTCCAGAGGAGCCGCTGGGACCCCAAGACCGGGCAGAGCCCCAGCAAGCCCCGGGACCTGGTGAGACGAGGCAGGCGGCGGGGCACGAGCTGGATCCCAGGCAGGTGGGGCTCTGGGCTGCGGGTCTGCAGGCGTCGGTGGGGAAAGGCTCCCCGCCCACCCCACCCGCGGACACCCGCCTGGCCCTGGCCCTCCCTTACCCGCCCAGACTAGCCGACCCCGGCTCTCCTGTCCAATGCCCTGGCAGATCAACCAGGTGACGGGCTGGCTGGACGGCAGCGCCATCTACGGCTCCTCGCACTCCTGGAGCGACGCGCTGCGGAGCTTCTCTGGGGGACAGCTGGCGTCCGGCCCCGACCCCTGCCTTTCCCCGGGGGTGCGCAGGCCCCCCTGCTCATGTGGACTGCGCCCGAGCCCGCCACGGGCCAGCGCGGGCCCCAGGGGCTGTACGGTGAGGCCGCGGGGCCCCGCAGGGGCGCGGGCCGGTTGGGGTTGGAGCGTCTTCGCGGCTGGTGGGAGGACAGACTGGGGTCTGCGAGGTGGCGCTCCCCTGCGTCCCACAGCCGCTCATGTCCTCCCGTGTGTCCCCACGTCGGTTGCAGCCTTCGGGGCGGAGCGAGGGAACCGCGAGCCCTTCCTGCAGGCGCTGGGCCTGCTCTGGTTCCGCTACCACAATCTGATGGCACAGAAGCTGGCTGGCGAGCACCCGCACTGGGGCGACGAGGAGCTGTTCCAGCACGCGCGCAAGAGGGTCATCGCCACTTACCAGGTCAGTGGCACTGCCCCCTCCTCCCCAGCCCATCTCCTGGTCCACGGGACACTCTGCTTCCCTGCAGAGCCCTCCATCCTCGGACATCCCCCCACCCAGAAACACCCTTTTCCGGGAGTCCACCCCTGCCCAGAGAGCTAATGTCCAGGAATAGAGCCTGAAATGATAAGGAGACAAAACGTCACTTATGCAAGAAATTGAGCTCACCCACCCCCTGAAGTCCTCTGTTCCGTGAGGGGATGGCCTCAGCATCTCTGCTGTTTGGGTCACCTTCTGCCTGGTCGTCCTCTCCCACTTAAGGCTTCCTTGGGCTCACATCCCCCCCTGGCCTGGCAGCTGGAGCACTCACCTTCCCTCTCCTCTTTCTCGACCCTCAGAACATTGCTGTGTATGAGTGGCTGCCCAGCTTCCTGCAGCAAACACCCCCAGAATATACAGGTGAGGGCACTGGGGGCGCCTGGGCTGAGGGGAGGTGGTGGTTGGGATCCATAGTGGGAGAGACAGGTGGTGCTTGATCTGGGAGGAGAGGGCATGGGTAAGAAGCTTATTGTCTCGTTGCTCTCGTTGCTCTCGTGGAGCAGGGTACCGCCCTTTCCTGGACCCCAGCATCTCCCCAGAGTTCCTGGTGGCCTCTGAACAGTTCTTCTCCACCATGGTGCCCCCTGGCATCTACATGAGGTGAGGGAGGGGCTGGCGGTGGGAGATGAAGCACAGCACTGGTGGAGGTGGCAGATCAGAGAGTCTGGGGTTCCTGGAGCTTTTTATACGCCTCCACAGTGTCATGGAGGAAGCAGAATTTGGGGTCCTGAAACAGCACCCTGAGGCAGGAGGTTCAGTCTTAGTAGAGAAATCTCCCCAACTCCTCCTAATGGCTGAACTTCAGTTGCTGAGAGCTGGATGTGTTCAGCAGCTGGGCCACCCACTTCCCCCCTTCCCTTTCCACCTTGTGTGGGGAAAAAAGCAGCCTCTACCTTTAACCCCCACACATTGCCAGGTCCCTGCTCTGTTCAAGGAAGTTTAGGGGCCATCCCTCAGTCCTGGCCAACCCCCTCTGAGTCCCTCACCTTACTCAACCTCATCTCAGCTTCCTCCTTGAATTCCCTTACCAATTCTTGATCCTCCATTTCAGAAATACCAGCTGTCATTTCCAGAAGATCATGAACAAGGGTTTTGGCAGCTCCCCAGCTGTCAGAGTCTGCAACAGCTACTGGCTTCGTCAGGTCAGCTTGGGTTCAGGGTCAGAGGAAGGTGTCAAAGTCAGTTTCATCACACAGGCTGGGAAAAGCAACAATTCCAGTTCTTGACTGTTGCTGCCCCAGGGTGGTGGGAGATGAAGGGTAGAGTGATCAGAAAATTATCTGGGGACAACAGCTCAAGAGAGCCTGAGACTGGCCAAGGGGCCTTTGTCCTGAGGTACTGCGGTGGTCCCAGATGAGAGGGACTGGGCTTTGGGAAGAGACCCAAAAGCCTACTTTGACCGAGTGTGTTGTTTACTTCCAGAACCCCGACCTGAACAGTGCCCAGGCAGTGAACCAGCTGCTGCTGGGAATGGCCTCCCAGATTTCAGAGCTGGAGGACAGGATAGTAGTTGAAGACTTGAGGGGTGAGCTCTGGAGCCAGAAGGCATGGGTGCCCAGGGGCTGGGCTGCCTGGGGATTCTTCTAGGTTAATCATCAGGCAGACCTAGGGTACCTGCAATGCAGGAACACAGATACATACACTGCAAATAGCCATTAGAAGAAAATAGGCTTTGAAAAATTTCCTTCGACTCACAGTTTAGTGTTGTTTTCATTCTAAATTACCTAAGTCCGAGTAAGTAGGGGAGGGGTTGCACCACAATCTCTTTGGTGCTTAGGTTTCTAGGGGTTTTCACACAGCTCTGTCTTGAAGTTAAGGAGGTAAAGGCCAGGGAGTTTCCTGCTTGGTAACTGAAATAGTCTTGAGTCTTAGGGGAAGAGCTTTGCCACAAAAATTGCTCACGATCACACATGATGACATTGACCCCACACCAAGGCGAGGTTGATGTGGATACAGGTCATGTATAGGCAAGAGCTGGGGGTGGTGGGAGGAGCAGTTGGGAGTTAGTGCCAACAGCCCAATTCAAGGCTATTGGGCAAAGAAGGGTTGAAGCAACTGAATCTATAGCCTAGTCCTCTCCCCTTGTTAGATTATTGGCCTGGCCCTGGCAGGTTCTCCCGCACAGACTATGTGGCCAGCAGCATCCAACGTGGCCGGGATATGGGGCTGCCCAGCTATAACCAAGCTCTGCTGGCCTTGGGGTTAAAGGCCCCGAAGAACTGGAGTGACCTCAACCCCAATGTGGACCCGCAGGTCAGGAGCAGTAATGATGATAACAATGGTTAAAGCTTTCCTGTGGCCCCACTGTTCCAAGTCCTCTGTACATGTAGCTCATTTAATCTACGTAGGGAATGTCGTATGGTAGATACCATTATCCCCATCTTTCCAATGACATAGTTGTTAAGTCAGCCACAGAGGCAGGATTTAAATTCAGCCACCTGATTCCAGAGTATGTTCCTCCCCATTACATTGTACCGTTCCTGCAGGGTGGCCCCCGAGTGGGTGCCATTGCCCTATTCCTGCAGGGTTCCCCCCCTCCATGAGTTGGGTGACTCTGAAGCTGCTAATCATTGGGGCCAGGCAGTCTGAGTAGCGATGGTCACAAGATGTGGTCCTTAGGGATCTGACAGTAGTCTCACCATGAGCAGGGACACACTGGTTTTCTCACAATATTTGCCAACAACCAAGGGGGCTGTCTAGGAAAAGGAGACTTCCTCAGGCCTGAGCAGCTAGCCAAGTAGCTGGTGAGGTCTTGTGATTGAGGGGTGGGGCAACAGACACACACACACACTCACACATGTGTACACATACTCCTCACCTCCTGTGGTGCCCCAGGTGCTGGAGGCCACAGCCGCCCTGTACAACCAGGACCTGTCCCTGCTGGAGATGCTCCCTGGGGGGCTCCTGGAGAGCCAGGGGAACCCCGGGCCCCTCTTCAGCACCATTGTCCTTGACCAGTTTGTGCGGCTGCGGGACGGTGACCGTTACTGGTTTGAGAACACCAGGAATGGGTAAGGCCTGCTCGGGCCCCACCTCAGACTGCACCTCGGCCTGGGCTCAGGCCCTCTGCCTGTAAACAGCCCCCGTGGGCCCTTGATTTCCAGCTGGCCCCGCCCCTCCCCAGCCCCTCTGGGTCTCTTTCCTTATCTGGGTCCCTGGGGTTGAAGTTCTGGAGGCCTGGAACCCTTTCCCATCCCAACAATGCTTGGCTTCCTCCAACTTAGGCTGTTCTCCAAGGAGGAAATTGCAGAGATCAGAAACACCACTCTGCAGGATGTGCTGGTGGCTGTCACCAGCGTGGACCCCAGTGCCCTGCAGCCCAATGTCTTTTTCTGGCATGAAGGTGGGTGGCCTGGGAGAACACAAGAAATGCTTCCAGAGAAAGGAACAAGATTTGGGGGGTCACTTGGTGCTGTCCAGGGAGTCAGGCACCAGGCAGCCCCTCCTGTGTCAGTCTGGGGGGTCTACATTAGGCTGTCTCCCTCAGTAGGAACCGGACTGGTTTGCAGGCTGTACCCTGTGGTCAAGCTGCAGTGGGTGCTGAGAAACATGGAAGGGGACTTTTTGAGGGGAACGTGTTCCAGGGAGAAAGGAGGGTTACTGCTTCTTTATAGGAGAGAAGGAAGGGCACCTGCACAAGGAGTGGGATACTCAGGCTTTGAGATTTTTTGTGCCCTCTCTCTCAGGTGCACCCTGCCCTCAGCCACAGCAGCTCACAACTGACAGCTTGCCACCCTGTGTGCCCATGACCGTGTCTAACTACTTCCAGGGCAGTGGTCCTGGTTTTGGTATCACCATTGTGGCTCTCTGCTGTCTTCCACTAGGTGAGCCCTTTTCCCTGCCATCTCTCTTCTCATGTCTCCCCCCTTTCCACAGACTGTCCCTGCCCCTCATTACCTGCTGGCTTGCAGGGCTGGTTCCTGGGTACAGTTAAAGCCAGACACAGTGGCCTTGAGAAGGGAGGGGCAACAGCCAAGCCTCAGTGAAGCTCCAGGTGAGGGTTTCCCCAACCCACTGACTCCTTTTGATCCCCTTTAGTGAGTCTGCTTATCTCTGGGGTGGTGGCCTATTTCCGGAGCCGAGAACTCAAGAAGTTACAAAAGAAAAACAAAGAGAGTGTGAAGAAGGAGGCAGACAAAGATGGAGTACCAGGTGAGATGGAGCTGAGGAGGTGAGGAGGTAGGGACAGATGGGCAGTGGTGCTGGCAGAAAGAACCAGGTTACAGATGTGGGTTATAGAGCTGGCTTTCACAAGCCAGCTTTTGGGATGCCTGCTCGGACTGGTAGAGTGGAATTGGCCTGAGGGCAGGGGCCTGGGAACCTACGCTGAACTGCTCAGCACAATTATCTCCTTCACAGCGATGGAGTGGCCAGGCCCTCAGGAGAGGAGCTACCCCGTCACCATTCAGCTGCTCCCAGACAGGCGTCTGCAGGTTCTGGATAGGCGTCTCTCTGTGCTGCGCACTGTTCAGTTGCGGCCCCCACAGCAGGTCAACCTCATTCTGTCCAGCAACCGTAGAAGCCGTACTCTGCTGCTCAAGATCCCCAAGGAGTATGACTTGGTACAGCCCATCCTGCCTTTACTCCCACAGCGAGTCCTCTCAGGTTACCCTCTTCTTTGCTGCAGAGCTCACCTGTAAAGGTTGATGATGGGAGACACTCTCCTTTCAGAGGTCCCCAGACTCAACCTGACCCTCCTTTTGACCCTCATGGGCCACTCACCTGTCCCCAACCTGGATGGATGGAGGCAGCTTTTTCCTTCTACTTCCAACCTAAGGTTCTTTGAAGGGAGGCTGAACCAGAAGCTGGAGCTCTGAGCACTGACTCAGTCTGCCTCCCACCCAGGTGCTTCTGTTTAACTCCGAGGAGGAGCGAGGCATGTTTGTGCAGCATCTGCAAGACTTCTGTGTGCACTGGGCTCTGGGCGTCAATGTGGCTGAGATAGCCGAGAATGAGCTGTTCAGGAAGGCTGTGACCAAGCAGCAGCGGGGCCGCATCCTGGAGATCTTCTTCAGACACCTTTTTGCCCAGGTGCCATGACCATGCCTTTGGGAGATAGGACCAATCCAGAGCTGGAGGGAACCTTGGCCTCATAGCCTTGGTTGAATCCTAGCTTTGCCACTCACTATCTGTGTGAGCTTAGGAAATCACATCATCTCCGCTTTGCATGTCAGTTTCCTCATCTACAAAACAGTGTATTGAAATAGGATCCATTTCTTTGGGTTGTTACGAGGATTCAGTGAGACAGTCTACATCAGTGGTTCTCAAAGTATGGCCCCTAGACCAACAGCAGTAGCCTCACCTGGGAATGTTAAAAATGCAAATTCCCTAAAAAATAATCCAAGTCCTCAGCAACCCTTCCCAACCCATGCCTCCACTCTCCACCTAGTGAGTCTGGAACTCTGGAGCTGGGGCCCACAAGACCACCAGGGGATTCTAACGCATTCCAAAGTTGATGAAATAGGAACTTAACTCAAGTTTGTATCAGTGAGCCTGTGGTAAAATTGGTTTTGTTTTACATCATTTTGCTTAAAGTCACAGCATCTATTGATGTTAAGTGAGGACTCAACTGTAAATTGTAGGGATTTAACAAATGGTTGTTACACATACATGACTTTTAAGATCTTTGCACAATTTGCAGAGATGAAATCAGTCACATGGCAGCCCGTCTGAATTGGCAAGAGAACATAGATAGCCCAGCCTCTCCCTGCCTGTGCACCCCTGTCTGCTCCATCTTCTGTCTGCAGTATAGGCTCGCTCACTTTGTACTCCCAAACTTTGCCCCTTCCTGATCCCAACCTCTGCTCCCCGAAGACCCAGCACTAACCCTATTGTATAAAGTTCCTGGATCTTGAGTCCAGGGAGAAAAATGAGCTGATGATAGAGATTTGAGTCATCCCCCTTTACTGGAGAGCAGAGGCCCAAGTCAGGGGTATATCTGAGGACCAGCAGCAGACACCAAGGCTTACCTTTTCTGAGCTGGAGTTTGGAGAGATGTGAGGGTCCCTGAAGTGTAAACAGCCAGGCCTCACTTCTTTCTCTCCCTCCCTGTGCTGCTTCCCGGGTACAGGTGCTGGACATCGATCAGAGAGACGCAGGGGCCCTGCCCCTGGACTCATCACAGAAGGTGCGAGAGGCTCTGACATGTGAGCTGAGCAGGGCTGAGTTTGCTGAGTCTCTAGGCCTCAAGCCCCAGGACATGTTTGTGGAGTACATGTTCTCTCTGGCTGATAAAGATGGCAATGGCTACCTGTCCTTTCGGGAGTTCCTGGACATCCTGGTGGTCTTCATGAAAGGTAGGAGGTCTTGGGCCATCCCAGGAGCTAGGTTTATTTCAGCAGACAGGTGATCTTTATTCCCCTCTCTCTTCCCAGGCTCCCCAGAAGACAAGTCCCGGCTGATGTTCACCATGTATGACCTTGATGGAAATGGCTTTCTCTCCAAGGAGGAATTCTTCACCATGATGCGGTATGGGCTTGGCCCTTCTGGTCCTGAGACTTCCTGGTGTTTTATACAGGAACACAAGTCAGGTCAGAGGAGAGTAGGTGAGGAGATGATCTGCGCAGAGAGCTGGCCCTCAGTGCGTCCTAGACTCTCAGAGCAGCCAGCTTCAAAAGTTTATCTGGCTAGATGCCTGCCCCCAGGAGGGTCTGTATCTGCACTCTCAACGCCAGCTGGAAAATTCTCCCTCTTATTGAAACAGCATCAACAAAGGCACAACCAACACCAATATGACCACTAACAAAAGTCCACTAATCCCTTTTGGATGCCTTTGGACTTTTGTGAAGTCCACAGCATGCCAAACACTGCTTCACACAGTGAAATAGTGGGTGGGTGGAGGATGGAAGACCTTGGTCACTCTTCCAATGTTAATCACCACGACTGGAAAGAGGAGAAATGCAAAAAGTTCCTCAGTTTTCCAACTCTTCTCTCTTACTGCTTCTTAAGCCATTTCAGATTGTACTGTCCTGATAAAAATCAGTGTTGAGACTTTTTATTCCTGAAGATAATGCTCCAATAACACAGTCCCCTTCAGCTCCTTAAGGACAGGGTTCACATCTTTTGCCGCTCCCTGCTGAATGCACCTCCTCCACACTGTGATTGGCACATAACAGGCATTCAACACATAGTTAACTGAACAAGATGAACTAAACAAACAAAGAATGAACAGAATGCATACAACAACCCAGATCCTTATAACTTTTCTGCTCCTTTAAACCTTTCCACTGACTTCTGCATTCCCCTTAACTGTCACATCCTTCTTACAGTCCAGATGCCACAACTAGACATGGGCTTCTTAGAGGGCTAGGGTGAAGCCAGCTGATTGCAGACTGTGCCTCACTGGCTGTGCCATTGCAGGCCCAGGGCAGGGCTGGGCCCAGGGCATGTGCAGTGGGTCCCTGCCCTCCAGGGGTGAGCTCCTGCCTTCTCCTCCTATTCTCAGTATGTGGATCTTGCTCAGTCTCAGTGGGATGATGTGTGTGCTGGGTTTTGTTTTGTTTTGTTTTTAATGCAATGGCAGCACTTGCTCTGTCGTGTGGGGGGAGGTGTTTTTCTTCTGGACTCACACGAACTTGCATGGTTAGTTTGTTTCATCCCAAGACACAGCCTAAGAAGAGAGTATGGCCACTGCTGCTGCCACGACGGACAATGTCAGATTGGGTTGGACACACTCCTGCCCATGCCCTGGGGTTTTGGCATAAGGAAGCCGCAGCCATTGCAGCTACATTCCCTCCCCTGGCTGTCTGTGCCCGCACTGGACTGTGAAAAGGGGAGCTTGGCGAGAGTCTGAGGTGTGGGAGGCTTCAACACAGCAGAGCAGACAGAGAGCCTGCCGTGCAAGGAGGCCATGGCATACCTGGACACATCCCTACACTAAGTGGATGTTCATCCCAGGTGTAGGTGCCCACCACCCCCAGTTGGAGGGCTGCTATCTTTAATGGGTCAAGGGTACTTTCAGCTTTTTTCTGCCCTTTGAGCCTGTGGCCACCCCACCCAGCTTAGCGTCAGGTGCAGACTGGATGAACACCTTCTGAGTGTTATTTTCTGTGTCACTCACTGGTAGCGGCATGAGATCATTCAGGGCCTGCCTCACCCTGCACCTGCCTAAGCCTGACCTCACCAGGTGACAAGCTGCTCTGTCTCTGGTCATCCACCAGGTCCTTCATCGAGATCTCCAACAACTGCCTGTCCAAGGCCCAGCTGGCTGAGGTGGTGGAGTCCATGTTCCAGGAGTCGGGCTTCCAGGACAAGGAGGAGCTGACATGGGAGGACTTCCACTTCATGCTGCGGGACCACGACAGCGAGCTCCGCCGCACACAGCTCTGTGTCAGAGGTGGAGGTGGAGGTGTGTGAGTATGTAAGGAATGGTCACAGTCAAGGAAGGGTGCGTCCTCAGAATGAGAGTTCCTGGAGCATAGGACCCAGATCTCATTTCCCTCTTAGCCCTTGTGCCTAGCACAGAGCCTGGTATGCGTAATCAAGGGCATCACATACAGCTGTGCAATTTGGCACTGCACAAAGCAGCGCACTGAGGGTTCAAGAATGAGATGAAATCCATACTGCTCACCAAGTCATGTGCATTGGTCTGGGGTGTATCTGCCCAGGGGAAAAGGCATTACTTTTTACACAAAGAATCTGCAGGGCCCAGGCGTGTACCTAGAGGGGATTCCTTTTTCTAATTGCATGGGATTGTCACAGTGTCTAGCAGTGGCTGCCCTGTGTGCAGTGGGTACTCAGTATGGGGAGTGAGAGGAACAAAGCTGGAGCAGGAGATGAGGACATGACCAAGTCACTGACAAGCGCCGTGGCGGCCTTCCCAGAGGGTAGTGGGCCGTGGTGGTGGTCATGATGGAGGGATAGTCTTCCACCCCACCCCACCCCACCCCACCCCCCTCATGGGGAAGCCTGCCTAGCCTCTTGTTCTCCTCTCCAGGTGTTGTAGACATCTTTAAACCAAACATCAATTCTCGAGTCTCATTCATCTCTCGGACTTCTGGGAAACGGTGAGAAGGAATGGGGCATTAGGAAATCCCTTTGGCCAAGTCCCCTGCAGAGAAATGAAAGAAATAGGGCTGGTTGAATTTGACCTCTGAAAGTAACTCCTAGTGCATAGCCAGTCCTAGCACAAATTCCAGCTGCCTCCCACATCCCATGCTACAAGGAGCCTGGCTCTCTCCCAGCCACTGCAGGACAGAATCATCCTATCAAACAGATGACTAGATCATATTTATTCATTCCACCTTGCTTCCTGTCTGCTCCTCTCTGACCAGTTTTATGGGCTGGTTGTGTTCACCCTTACCCTACCTCACTCCACCCAAAGCTCTGACCTCACAGTTCTTCCCCTGGCTGCAAAGACAAGGGGAAAATGAGACCTGTTTACCTTTTCTCAGTTCTTGCCCCCAAGAAGTGGGACTTCCCACCTCAGAAGCCCCAGAGCTGGGAGGCCCTGGGCTGAAGAAGAGGTTTGGCAAAAAGTGAGTGTTTCCTAGATCCCTGGGGCCAGGAGACATGGGAGAGATCTCAGGGTCTCTGGGCCCTGCCCACACCACCTCAACACACTAGGGACCATCCTAAGTCTCATACCATTTGTACCTAACCCTACTGGTGGGCTGTACAATTAAATAATCAACATCCTAATCTTGGGGCTACAGTCTGGCACTCAGATGCAACACCAAGATGGCAGGAAGGAGTCTCCTGGCTTCTGCTTGCTTTGGGCACAGCAGTGAGGCCTGTGCAGGGAGCAGACAGAGGGAAGGACAGACCAGACAGGAGGAAGGTGAAGTAGAGTAGTGGGAGACAGAAAAGGGGGTGGATGGAACAAATAAAGATGAGAGGTGAAGGTTTGGGTGATTGGGAGTCTGCCCTCGCAAATGCTTTTCCCTTTCTCTGTTGTGGTCCATCCTGGCCCCATGAAGCCACCAGGTCTCCTTCACGGGGTGGTGTTTAGGGGAAGCCAGGGCACCTTGATCTTACAGCTACCCTGCCCCCTCATGCTGCAGGATAGTGGTGCCCTCTCCAAGGTTGTACACGGAGGCGTTGCAGGAGAAGATGAAGCAGGGCCTCCTGGCCCAGAAGCTGAAGGAGTACAAGCGCTTTGTGGAGAATTACCTGCGGCACATCATGTGCATTGCAGTCTTCTCAGCCATCTGTGCCGGCCTGTTTGCAGAGCGTGCCTACTGTATGAGTTCCAGGTCTCAGGCAGCGGGAAGGGGGAGGGGAAGCCCTCTGGTTGCTGTTCCCACTCCTCAGCGTCGCACTCTGTCCCCAGACTACTCCTTCGCCTCACCATCTTCGGGCATCACCGAGACCACCTTCGTGGGCATCATCCTGTCTCGGGGCACAGCCGCCAGCATCTCCTTCATGTTCTCCTACATCCTGCTCACCATGTGCCGCAACCTCATCACCTTCCTGCGAGAGACCTTTCTCAACCGCTACGTGCCCTTCGACGCCGCCGTGGACTTCCATCGCTGGATCGCCATGGCTGCTGTCATCCTGGCCAGTATGTGGCTCCCAGGCAGTCTCCTTACTGCTGCAGCCCCCTGAGGCTAACTGTAGGGGAAATAGTGAGGTGTCTGGAGCTACTTTTACTTCCATCTTTTCCCCTGGCTGTTCCTCCTCTCCCCCTCCCTTGGGGTTAGATGTAGAGTCAGCCTTGGATGGGGTCTCTAATGGTCTTTCTCTTTCAGTTCTGCACAGCGCTGGCCATGCAGTCAATGTCTACATCTTCTCCGTCAGCCCCCTCAGCCTGCTGGCCTGCCTCTTCCCCAACGTCTTTGTGAATGATGGGTCAGTTCTAAGGAGGGTCCCCTAGGGACACCTGGGCAGGCCTAAGGGTATAACAGAAAAGAAGTAGATGGTCCTAGACGCTTCACTCCCTCACTGAGTGAGGCTGAGAGGCCAGCCTCCTTGGGGATGCTGAGAGGTGCATTCCTTGCTCTCAGGAAGGAAGCTGATCATGATTGGCCAGGAAGGGAGTTTGGGTGGTAAAGTTGGGGACTCTTTCCCACATGTACCTAACACAGATCTCAGCTTGCCATCCATTCAGTGGGCAAGTGTTTTATGTGTCCATCCAGCAGCCAGAGATTAAAGAGGCCAAGATACATGCAATCACTCCACAAATACTTACTGGGCTTTTATTATGTGCCTGCCATTGTTTGAGCATAGAGATAGGGCACTGAGCAAAACACATACCCCTGCCCTCCTGGAGTTTATAGAATATGAATCAAGCACTGGAGGCAGCAAAGATTGACCACATTAGGAGAGTTCAGGACAACACAGGAGGAATTGCTGAGAGAGCAGAGGCTGAACTGTGGGAGACTGGGTCCATGCTCCTCAGAAGGATGGGTTGGCTGGCCATCTGGGTGGGTGCCCGGTAATCTGAGTGGTCTGGGCTGATGGGAACAGAATCATGTTATAAGGGGGATGGAGGACCTTCTGCCCCAGCCAGAGGTTCCATGTGCCTTTGCCCCACAGGTCCCACTTTCCCCAGAAGTTCTACTGGTGGTTCTTCCAGACAGTCCCAGGTAGGGAATGGAGCTGTATGAGGGCTCAGGGGGTTCTGTCTGAAAACTTCTGCTTTTGTTTTCATCTTTTCATGAACACACACTTGTGTATAATGGTCCCTTTCTAGCCTCTAGGACGAGCCCCAGCTGCAGCCCCTTTAGGCAAGCTGTACCGGGGGCCAAGGAGAGATGACAGTGGTCAGGGAAAGAGGACAGAATGGGGGGACTATTCTGTTGTGTTCTCAGCCCAGGATGAGGCCCTGAGACTCTTCTCTGTCTCTGTGTTCCATACCCCCAGGTATGACAGGGGTGCTTCTGCTTCTGGTCTTGGCTATCATGTACGTCTTTGCTTCCCATCACTTCCGGCGCCGCAGCTTCCGGGGCTTCTGGCTGACCCACCACCTCTACATTCTGCTCTACATCCTGGTGAGAGATTTCTCTGGGCAGGGCCCAGCCACGGGGTGGGGTGAACACTCATGATGGCTGGGAAAGCAGGCTGAATTGGACCCAAGGTCTCACACTGAGACCCTGACCTCTGAGACCCCAGTCTCTAAAGCTGATGCCATCCCCATTTACCTAGCTCAGGCCCAGGGCCCAAGCAGAAATTGTCTGGGCAAGAGCCAAGAAGGGAGGGGGCCTGGCTCGGCCTGAGCTATCCTAACTGGCCATGTCTCCAGCTCATCATCCATGGCAGCTTTGGCCTGATCCAGCTTCCCCGTTTCCACATCTACTTCCTGATCCCGGCACTAATCTATGGGGGGGACAAGCTGGTGAGCCTGAGCCGGAAGAAGGTGGAGATCAGCGTGGTGAAGGCAGAGCTGCTGCCTTCAGGTACCAGGCCTGGCCTGACCCTGGGTGGGGAGCACTGGAAGTCAACTTAGGGGATGTGGGGAGATTGCTTCCAGGCCTTCTGCCCCAGACTGTGGTTCCTGATAGGCTCTCTGGGCCCCCTGTAGCTTTCCTGATGCAAATGCGGGGGCGGGGGCGAGGGGGGGGAGGGTGCCTGGGGGCGCTGCCAGGGCACGAGGTGGGATCTGCAGACAGTGAGAAGTGACTTTGAGAAGAAGCAGCTGAAAGTGAAAACTAAGGGATTTAAGGACAAGAAAGACTTCCCCACATGTTTGGCCTGGGTTCAGGGCAGGGAGCTGTATGCCCCCTCACACCCTTTTCTGCAGAATAATCCCCTTTCAGAGACAGGCAAATGGCCAGATTGCGAAAGTCTGCTATTGAGTCAGTGTTGGCTAAAGTAGGGGTTCACATCACCATAGAGGGTGGTGGAGATGATTTTAGGTGTCCAGGGACCATCCAACCTTTAGGACTCACATAGTAAGAAAATTAATTTCATTTTTATGTTACTTCAATTCAGATTACTTAAGAACAAAGTGTCCGCATGGTGTTATTATGCCTTTTGCACTCTCCAAAACTTGCAAGTGCAACAAAGAGAGAGCAGGCCTGAGGCTCAGCTGTGGTCAGGCCACAAAGAGTGTCCAGCAAAAATTTGATAAAATACACTGCCTTCTATTTAGAGTACATGATACCGGTTTTCCACTTACCTTAGTGACCTAAACCCTCTTGTCAAGATATATCAAATTGAAAAAGTAAGTCAATTTAAAGAAAAATACATAAAAGATAGTGTAGGAGGTGTGGCAGTATGGCTATAATAGTAGAGGTTTGGCAAACACTGAAACGGTCCATGGGGAACCCTTCGTCCTCTGACCCAGTAGGCTTGTATCAGACCTGGGCCCTTAGTGGGGAGAGAGACTGGAGAGGGGAAGAGAGGCTGGAAGAGAGGAGCAGAGAAGCCCAGCTCTCAGGTTACCCAGGATATAGCAGAGGGGATTCTCCAACTCCCAGCCCCAGGAGCCCCACTTATTCAGACCATGGGACTGTTCCCTGTGCCTCAGGCATGTGGAGAGGACAGGGTACATGCCAGTCCTCAGGTACCAGAGCAAGCCTTCTGATCCCTGCCCTTCTCTGCCCATCACGGACCCCCCAGGAGTGACCCACCTGCAGTTCCAGCGGCCCCAAGGCTTTGATTACAAGTCAGGACAGTGGGTGCGGATTGCCTGCTTGGCTCTGGGGACCACCGAGTACCACCCCTTCACACTGACTTCGGCTCCCCACGAGGACACGCTCAGCCTGCACATCCGAGCGGCGGGGCCCTGGACCATTCGCCTCAGGGAGATCTACTCACCCTCGCCGGATGGCTGTGCCAGATACCCAAAGGTGCCCATCATTGGGAAACACTTTTGGGCTCTGGCATTGGCAGACACTTCCCTGCCCTCCCCCATCTTGGGATCAGAAGCACTGGACATCCCAAAGCCAGACAGGGAGAGGGCTGGGTGCCTTAGAACAGGCGAGGATATACTTGCATTTTTCTTCTCCTTGTCCCCTTACATCATTTCTAGCCTCAGAGCTGGTGCAGGGTCAGGCTCACCTCATCCCCCCTTCTGTTGGCAGCTGTACCTTGATGGACCATTTGGAGAGGGCCACCAGGAGTGGCATAAGTTTGAGGTTTCAGTGCTGGTGGGAGGAGGCATTGGGGTCACTCCCTTTGCATCTATCCTCAAAGACCTGGTCTTCAAGTCATCCGTGGGCAGCCAAATGCTCTGTAAAAAGGTGAGTGTCTCTCTCCTATTCTTCAAAGGAATGGGAATAGATGGACTAATTGTGTTTCCATATAACAATAGATTAGCATTAGAAAAAGCTGCTGGCTTATAATCCCTAGGTCTGCCAGGGCCATTTATACCCAGTTTTCCAGATACGAAATGTTTGGAGGGAGGGTAGAAAGTATAGCGAGAAGGGCCTCTGCCTGGATCTGTCAGTGAGGAGCCTTGGATCAACCTTGTGGGGTTCTGACAGAGGTTCAGTGTCTATGGGTGGTCTGGGGCTTCCCAGCCTCTCCGGTGAAGGCATCTGGGGTGGAGGAATTTTGAACTGAGTCCTAAGCTCCAACCCTGTCCCCAGATCTACTTCATATGGGTGACGCGGACCCAGCGGCAGTTCGAGTGGCTGGCTGACATCATCCGGGAGGTGGAGGAGAATGACCACCAGGACCTAGTGTCTGTGCACATCTACATCACCCAGCTGGCTGAGAAGTTCGACCTCAGGACCACCATGCTGGTGCGGCAGTGCCAGCCAGGCCGGATGGGTGTGGCTCTGTCTGGGCTGGGCTCTGTGTGGGCTAGGAGCTGACCCTGGCTCTGCCTGGCTCTGACTTCCTCCTCCATTTGTTCCCCACCAGTACATCTGTGAGCGGCACTTCCAGAAGGTGCTCAATCGGAGTCTGTTCACGGGCCTGCGCTCCATCACCCACTTTGGTCGCCCCCCCTTCGAGCTCTTCTTTAACTCCCTGCAGGAGGTTCACCCACAGGTCAGCCCCACCCACACCCATCCTGGGACTCTGACATTTAAGCACCCTGTGGCTCTATATTGAGTGGAGAACCCCCCAACCTGGCCCCGGGATAAGGTCAAGTGTCAGAGGAAGGCTTCAACCCCCACATACCTTCCCATCCTTAGCTCAAGTCTCCTCCTCGGGGCCTGGGGTTGATGCTCTGGTCATTCCAGCCAGGCTTGAGAAGCAGCTTCCTCCTGGGAAGTTGGCAGGCCTGTCCTCTCTGCAACCACTCTCCCCCAACACACTTGACAGGTACGAAAGATTGGCGTATTCAGCTGTGGCCCTCCAGGAATGACCAAGAATGTAGAGAAGGCCTGTCAGCTCATCAACAGACAGGACAAGGCCCACTTCATGCACCACTACGAGAACTTCTGAGCCCGCCCTCCCTGATGCCTGCTTCCCATCTGTGCACTGGCCCTTCTGGAAGTTTGTCACAATCCACCTCTGGCCTCAGCTGGAGAGCTGGAAGAGCCTTTGCCTTATTACTCTTTATGCCCCGTGCTCTGAGAAGGTAGAGGAGACCCCTCCAGCTCAAGCCACCTCAGGTTGTGGCAGACCCAGTGGGAAGAAAACAGTCCCTGCTGTATGACAGCTATGGAGGTGAAGAGATACAATAGCTTTTTCCTCTGATAGTTCCCCAAGTCTGATTTTCTCCCACGAAATTGATGTATTTGCTTTGGTATTTTCTTGGCCTGGGAATTTGAGGGAGGATGGGGTGGGGATGTGAAAACAGGGCTGAATGAGAACATCCTGAGAGCCCAGTTCAGCTGTGATGCTTAGAACCTGGCCAGCCCAAGTGCCTAAAGTCAGTCTCTGAGGCCTTTTCCCTCCACCCCCATCTCCAGCCTTTTCTGCTCCTAGAGGCTCAGGAATCCAGAGAAACAAAGATATCTCTCCAGTGATGATGTTCCTGGTGTCACCCAGCAATGCCCTCTGTCCTGACCTCTCGGCACCCCCTCTCTGAGCCACTGGAACAACCTTGGGATTCTGGGAGCAAGGGAGTTCAGTCCGTGGGCCAGACATCTAAAACTCCTTCTCTCCACTTCCATAGCAGTTGGGTGACAGCTGCTTTGATTTACCCAGGACTCGCCCAGTTTTAGCACCAGATGTCTTTTACCCTTGGCAACCCCTTACTTCCAGGCAAATCCGGGAGTCACCTTACAAAATCAGTTGGTCACCTTACACAGGAGTCGATCTGGAATATCACCTCCAATTTTAGCTCTTTAAGACCCTTCCTTTTCCTTTTTCAACTGGTTTTCCCTAAAACCTTAGCTTTATTTTTTTTTAATTTAGGTATAATTTACATACAGCAAAGTATATAAATCTTAAAATCACCATGTATGTGTGTTACCACTACATTGGTAATTCTGGATGATTGCATCATCCCAGAAACCTCCCCTGTAGCCCTTCTGTTCAGTCTTCCCCAAGCCCTAGAAGCAACCACTGCTGTGATTTCTCCAGGGTAGTTTTACTTATACTGGATGTACTCTTTTGAGACTGGCTGCTTTCATACAACAAAACGTTTTTGTGATTCATCCATATCATTGTATATATCAGTAGTTTGTTCATTTTTACTGCTGAGTTGTATTCCATTCTAGAGATGTACCACAGTTTGTTCACCCATTCTTCTGGTGATGGACATTTGGATTGTTTTTAGTTTTTTTTTAAATTAGGAATAAAGCTGCTATCTACATTCTTGTATCTGTGTTTTGGTGGAAATGATGCGCTCATTCCTCTTGGGTCTATGACACCTGTCCAGAAAAAGTCCCAACATTGTTAGTATAATGAGAATGGTTTGTATGACATCTGTGTAAACTGGCAGCCAAGGAGAGTGGACTGGAATGCACATGTGTGAACCATAACAACTTCGGTGTACTTGTCAGTGGGGATGGTAGACACCAGTTGAGTGAGCATGTGTACTGTGTGGCCATCATATTCAAAATGACTGAGCATTTCAGTTGAATCTGCATCAAATTTTGCATTAAGTTTAAACATTCCTCCATGGAAACTATTCGGATTATTGAGAAGGACACAGCTATCGGCAACTGATGACTGGCAGCTTCATCACCGCAGTGTGCCCACTCATGCATCACATCTCATGCAGAGTTTTTTTTGTTGAAACATCAAATCATTCAGGTGACTCGGCCCCTCTAGAGCCCAGATTTGGTGACCTGCAACTTCTGGCTTTTCCCGAAACTAAAATCACCTTTGAAAGGGGAGAGATTTCATACTGTTGATGAGATTCAGGAAAATCCAACAGGGCAGCTAATGGTGATTTGTAGAACTGTGCAAGGTCCCAAGGTACCTACTTTGAAAAGGACTGAGGCCTGATTATCTTATGTGCAATGTTTCTTGTATCTTCTTCAATGCATGTCTCTACTTTTCATATTACATGGCTGGATACCTTCTGGACAGACTATATCTAGGAGTGAAATTGCTGAGTCATGGAGTTCTACAGCCAATAGGACCTTGTGGCAGGGAGTTTCAGGCTATCTCTACATCCCTGCCCCAGGCCCCTTGCCTTCTCCTCATTGTCCTACCCTACCTCTTCTGACAGGCCACAAGCCTTTGGCTCGAAGCCCTCTACATTAAAGGAATCTTCCTTGGCTGGTGTGGCTCAGTGGGTTGAGTACTGGCCTGTGAACCAAAAGGTCACTGGTTCAATTCCCAGTCAGGACACATGCCTGGGTTGCGGGCCAGGCCCCTAGTTTGGGGCATATGAGAGGCAATTGATCGATGCATCTCTTACACATTGATGTTTCTCTCCCTATCTTTCTCCCTCCTTTCCCCTCTTTGTAAAAATAAATAAACATAGTCCTTAAAAAAAAAAATAAAGGAATCTCTAACAGAACTGGAAGGGTATTGGATCAGGAGCTGAGAGACCTGGACCTTAGTGTCAATTTTACCCTTATGTAGCTACAAAGAAAAATCTCTTACCTTCCCTGAGTCTGTTTCCTCATCTGTTAGGTTGTCTATGTGGGTCTTAGGAAGCCAGTTAATGATACTGGCTCAGGAAATTATACAGATGGGGAAATATAGGTGTTGTGTGCCAATTGCAGCTTATTGATAACCAGTGTAGTGGCTGGACCAGTCCTTGGGGTTCCTATTTTGACTGTGAGATGCCCTCAGCAATAACCATCAGGAAACTTTGAAAGAGAGAGGGTTCAGTGCTTGCAGGTCCTTGGAGTTACATGGCACATCCAGGGCCATACAGTAAGGTCATGAGCAGAGAGAGGGGAGCCTAGGGTTGTTTTTACTGGGGTAGAATGGGAGCCCGGGGTTTCACAGGCTCATGTTTGGTGAACTGAAAACATAAGAGTGGGAATTTAAAGTTCCAGAAGAGGAAAAAAAAGGGACCCAAATCTGGCCCATCAGTGCCTTCCTTATTCCTTCTAAAGACCACTCAAAACTCTTATCTGTCCCATCCTAATTCATCTCTCCTTGCGAGACTAGAGTATGTTGTCAACATGGCTGTCATGATTATCTGTAACACTCTCTACCCAATCCTACCCTCTGCCCTGCTAGAGCTTGAGTGAGGGTCTCTTAAAGACTCCATGATCACTCTTGCCCAGATGCCAGACAATGCCAAGCACACGTCCAATTGGACAGAGGGAGGTGCCATCATGATCTTGAGTAGCCTGAGATGGCACTTGGCTTGCCTGGCCTCAGTCCTGACTCCACACCCTAGCCAGGTTCTAAATGGAGGCATTTATTCAGGCTCTTGGGCTGCTCTGTCTAACCTTGCCCAGATTCCCAGTCGTCGCTGGGATAAAAGTTAAGGACTTACAGAGAGAGTAAAAGTGTCTTCAGCCTGGGCATTCGCCAGAACCCTCAATTGACCCCACTCTTCTTGGGCCTTTGTGACTAACTCTTCTCGGGAAGTGGATTGGAAGGCAGGATCAGGCACCCATCAGCCAACATGCTTTTGGGTTGAGAAAATGAGTCACTGCACAAGCGGGTGAGGGAAAAGGTCAGTTAGACTCTGAAAAATATGTAAACAAGAGCAACCACAAAATACTTCTGTGAAATAGGACTGATGAAAAATGATTCAAAGGAAATTCATGTGATTTCTAAAAATTTAACAATGTAAAAGAAAACAAATTTTCTCTATCCCAGGACACAGATATTGGTCTCAAGCCCAGGAATGAAGCCCAACCCAAGCCCTGCTACACAGAGATAGAGAAGAAGATGAGAATGGAACAGGGAGAAGGAATCAGATGGGATTGGATGGTGAGGGGATTGGGAATGGAGAAGATGAGGATGAGGTTGGATAGAAGGGCTTCTCTGGTGGGTGAGTGGGAAGGATGTGGAAGAGGACAGGGAGATGCTGAGGCTGAGCTCTGTAAGAGAGGAACAATGGCTAGATTTTTGCTTCTTTTTCCAACTTTTCAGACCCAGCTTCTGCCCCAAATTAGAAGGAAGAAAATTGACAAGATGTGGCAATCTTCCCACCCACTTGCTAAGAATTTTTTAGTAGAAGGAGCCAATCTAGCATAGTAGTTAAAAGTAAGGGCTATTGCTTCAAACTGGGTTTGAGTTCCAGTTGAGTGACCTTGAACAGACAAAGGAAACTCTTGGTGCCCATTTGCTTTTCCATAAAATGGGGTAACATGAAAATCTGCTTCATAGAATTTGGGAAAATCCAATACTATAACTCAGTTCAATGCAACAAATATGTGCTGAGTGTCTATTATGTCCTAGGCACAGGCATAACAGCCAAGAAACAGACAAACAGACAAGAAACAAGTAAATAAGAAGGTAATTCCAGGTCACAATAAAGAGCCTTGTAGGTAATAAAATAGAATATGTAATATGCTAGTGAGTGATGAAGGGGGCCCTTTAGATAAGGTGATTAAGGGAAGGCCCCAAGAAGGTGACTATAAGATTATAACAACTAATGGACACAAGGCTTGCTCTGTGTCCAGTGCTATTGTAAGTGTTTTAGGTGTATTAACTCAGTTTTTAGAAAAACCTGTGAGGTAGGTGTTACCCTTTTTCCTCATTTTACAGATAAGGAAGCTGAAAAGCATTTCCAGAAGAAATCCGTGTGTGTGGAAGCTTCTCCACACCAACAAGCATCAACTTATTATGACGCTATCTACACAGAGATAAGAATCAGATTTTACAAGTTAAGGGCTCAGCCCCAGAATACCACCCTCCAGTCTGATACCAGTTTCAAGTCCAGGTTATTACCTATGTTTCCAAATGACTGGCTATAAATCAGAGGTTCCCACTACCTGTTCCTTGGGTTCCTTTATTTTGCAAGAGTGGCTCATAGAACTCAGGAAAACCCATTTACTCACTAGATTACTGATTTATTACAAAGGATATTAAAAATACATATGAACAGCCAGATGAAGAGACCCTAGAGCAAGATCCCCAATAAAAAGAGCTCTTGTCTTTGTGGAGCTTGGGCCAGCAGTGTCAGGTAGAAGCATTCTGATTGACGAATATGGAAGCTCTCTAATAAAAACGGCCAATGAGTTGTCCTCCTGGGTTTTTATGGAGGGTCATTACATAATCACAACTGATTAAGTCATTAGCCATTAGCCATTGAACTCAATCTTCATCCCCTTTCACACTCCCAGCAGTCAGAGATTAGGAGTAAGGGGTGAAACTGAAAGTTCCAAAATTCTTTTTTTAAGATTTTTTAAAAATTTATTTTTAAAGAATGGAGAAGGGGGGGAGAAAGAGAGGAGAGAAATATCAATGTGTGGTTGCCTCTTACGTGTCTCCTACTGGGGACATGTCTCGCAACCCAGGCATGTACTCTACACTGGGAATTGAACCAGTGACCCTTTGATTGACAGGCCCATGCTCAATCCACTGAGCTACACTGGTAAAGGCTGAAAATTCCAAACTTTTAATCACATGTTGGGTCTTCTGGCAATGAGTCCCCACACTTGGGTGAGATCCAAAAGTCACCTCATTAACATAACAAGATACCACTGTTGCTGTCATCACAGGAAATTCCAAGGCTTTTGGGATCTCTGTTCCAGAGCCAAGACTTGGGGATAAAGACCAAATATATATTTCTGATTGTATATTGCAATATCACAGAAGCTATAGCACAAGAGACTTAAAGAGCTTGCTCAGAGTTACCAGAATGTGAGAGGACTCTATTTGACACCAGAAAGTTGAAAGTTTTTTTTTTATTTTAGAGGGCAAAGGAAAGAGAGAAACATCTATTTGTTGTTCCACCTATTTATGCATTCATTGGTTGCTTTCTGTATGTGCCCTGACCTGGGATCCAACCCTCAACCTTGGGGTATAGGGATGATGCACTAACGAATGAAGCTAGCTGGCCAGGGCTGACACCAGAAAGTTTTAACAAGAGACCATGCCCTTAACTATCACTTTATCATGCCTCTCAAAACCAGGTTGCAAGTGTTCAGGCCAAGATAATGTATGGACAGCCCTCAACTGTGTCTGGCACCTAGTAACTGTTATTATTACTATCACTAAGAGAAGTTGAGGCTCTGGATGGCAGATCTCCATATTCTAAGGAGCTTGGAGTATTTGGGGCTTGATATTAAGTGACTTGTTTCTAGTTCAGATCTGTTCTCTGATGATCACCAACCTCCCCCTCGCTGCCTAGCTCCCAAAAAGAAGGAGGAGGAGGACTGCCTGACCCTCTCATGGAACACCAAACCCCCAGATTATCTGAGCCACTCCATCCT